AGTCGTCATTGATCACTAGGGCTTTGCATTTTCGATCGTCATTAAGGAAAAATAAACCCACCTGCCTGTCATTGCTTTTTGTGGCAGTTTTTTTTATTATCTTGAAGCAGTTCCGTTTAGATGAGCTTAATTGTATTTTCTCATTAGTTTGGGGAAAAAAACCCTCACTCTGTATATAATGGAAAAAACGTCAAACAGCATCAACTGATTTTTAAAACGTATAAAGGTTGTCAAAATGCATTTCATCGTTTAGTTTTTTTTGGCATCAATTCTGAGTTTTTTTGGGGAAAAAGCTTTCATAAAGAAGTCCTTCTCTCAGTGTGAAGTAAAAAAATTCATTCAAGACATTAACATTGACAAAAGATTTTAATAGGAAAGTGGTGAGAAAGCTGCTAGATTTTTTGCCTGTCACTATTGAAAATGCACAGGTCTAGTGATAGGTTGTTGGTGGTGTGTTGTCTGGGACCAGTGGTGTTCACTGTGTGTGTGCTCTGCACTTTTCTGTGGTCAGTAAGTGCTGTGTGTTTTGTGTGTGAGGCTGTGCTCACTTAGTGCTCTGTGTTGCACTTGTGTGTGTGTGGGGGGCTGCGCTCACTCAGTGCTGTGTGTCGCACTCGTGTGTGTGTGTGGGGGGCTGTGCTCACTCAGTACTGTGTGTCGCACTCGTGTATGTGTGTATGGGGGGCTGCGCTCACTCAGTACTGTGTGTCGCACTCGTGTATGTGTGTAGGGGGCTGTGCTCACTTAGTGCTGTGTCGCACTCATGTATGTGTGTGTGGGGGGCTGCTCTCACTCAGTACTGTGTGTCGCACTCGTGTATGTGTGTGGGGGGCTGCTCTCACTCAGTACTGTGTGTCGCACTCGTGTATGTGTGTGGGGGGGGCTGTGCTCACTCAGTACTGTGTCGCACTCGTGTATGTGTGTGGGGGGCTGTGCTCACTCAGTACTGTGTGTCGCACTCGTGTATGGGGGGGGCTGTGCTCACTCAGTGCTGTGTCGCACTCATATGTATGTGTGTGTATGGTGGGGGGGGCGTGCTCACTTAGTTGTGTGTGTGTGTGGGATGGGCTGTGCTCACTCAGTACTGTGTGTTGCACTCGTGTGTGTGTCTGGCTGTGCTCAGTCAGTGCTGTGCTTTGTGCTGCAGACGTCTTACGAGCTGGAGGTGGACACCACAGCCCCGCCGGCTGCTGACAGAAGAGGAGTACCAGAAACAGGGGGAGGTGGAGACACAGCACGCCCTGGAGGAACTGCGGGAGTACTGCAACAGTCCAGAGTTCAAGGCCTGGAGAGCCGTCTCCAGACTCCAGTCCCCCAAAAGGTGAGAGCAGGAGAGTAGACCCCTAGGGTATGATGACCCCCTGCTGGTCAGCAATAGTGCATTCTGTCCTTCCATGACTGCAAGACATTATGGACACGGGCCGTCATCACACTAAGGTGGCGCAGTAGCATCTGCCCTTATTTGCTGACATTGTCTATTGGATTGTGTTCCTCGAGGTTCCATTTCTATATGTGCCGAGTTCGATATTGCGTGGTTTTGTCAACGCATTTGTTTGATTAGACCATATAACTTTTTCTCTTCCTTTGTGTTCTTTATTTTTAACTGATTTTTTTTTATTTCATGCATGTGAAAACCTAAGAACACTCAGCGGTGTCAAATGCAGTTTCATGCAGAAAATCTCAGCTGTTTCCTACTTGGACAATTTTAATATTGTGATCTATACAACCTTTCTCTCCACTCTCCTATGAATCAGGTGCATCTTCTAAATCTGATTTAAATCAGGTTTCCTTGAGAATAAAATCTTTAAAATAGAGCAAACAATTGGATGGTATCCACTGGGCTTGAGAGTTTTGACCCTGTTGACGAGCTCGTTGTTGGTGTCTTCTGACCCCGGCTGCCGAAGGCTTATTCGTAAATGTGTTTGATGTGCCCATACAGGTTTGCGGATTTCATGGAGGGCTCTCCTCACCTGACACCCAATGAGGTCTCTGCTCACGCCCACGAGTACGACCTGGGGGGGTCCTTCTTGGAGAATGAGCTCTTTGGTGAGGATGAGGATGAAGAGGAGGAGGAGGAGGAGCGGATGTTGAAAACGGAGGAAGAAATGCTGCGACTACAGAACAACCACAGGAGGTTGTGACCCATCCCACACTCCCTCCTTGCCCTGTCCCCTGACTCACAGCTACAGCCTTAATATGCCAGTGCTAACACACTTAGTGTGAACACTGCAGTAAAAGAGCCTTTTTGTCTGGTCCCAGTGGATCCAGAGTCAGAGCTGATCAGGCCAGGGAGGGGGCTGTGCCCTTATCTCAGTGTGTACAAGACAATCTACCCAGAACATGTCCTGTCAAAAAGCAGGCTTTTTTCAGAGAAGAATTCTCAGGCCTATAACTTCCTGACTCTGGTAAATTTGCTCTTGCACATTTCATTTTTTATATATTTTTTTCTCGGTAAAATGAAAATCGTGTTTTTTTAATTATGTGCAACGAGCCTGGTTTCGGGAGATCAAAGTCAAGCATTCTTTTTTTCCCCCGTTTGGTTCATTTGACACTTCGCAGGTTGGAGGAGAGCTGTTTGTTTCGGGGGGATTGTTAAGGGGTTTAGGTTGTCATCAGTCTAAATGCTAATTTGTTCTAGGTCAGCTTCATCTCTTCAATAGCAAAAGTTTTAGATCAGTGTAACATACGCATTCAAGGAAGAACAAAGGATTTTTCATTTTCAGTCTTTCTGCCGATGCACTGCTTGAATGTAGATAAAGATGACTTATTTGATGATGCTGACAGATCCATGTTTAGTTTTTTCTTTTTAATCTCCCTGACTTCATTCATAATTATAAGTAGGATTGCAAATGCTAGGATATCCTTTAGGGTGTGGCTGCCGGAGATAGCCACTGCCTGTGTGTGCTGCACATTGGGGATCTGTCTTGTGTTGAAAACTGAGGATGACAGCTGGTCTCTTATGATTTACTGGGCAATCTTTCTGTATCGGTTTTAGAAATCCTCAAAACGTGTCTTTTAATGATAGGAGGTTGCCCGTGGTGAACTTAGTCAGTGACCCAGGCCAAATCAAGTTAATTGTGTTGCAGTCTTTAGAATAACTTGTGAATGTGATGATTGCTTTATTTTTTGTTAGCTACACAAGAGGGGTTTGCCAGACTGGTCCAATTGACAGTTTCCGCCATCAGCTCTCCAGCAAGGCGTGTTGCAGACCTGGAGGAAAAAGTATCTTTCCACACTGTCTGGGAGATTCTGTGGGAACAAGAAGTTAGATTCTACAGAGCTTGATGTAGTGATGTCTCCACTTTACATTAAGAATAGGTTTACCGACCATGATTTGCTCTAGTCCCGGACTCTTACCTGGATGAATAGTAGGTAGTCCGAAATTAGTACTGATTAGGGTCTGTGAAACTACGGCTGATTGCTCCCTTCGTTTGAAAATGGAGTGGTAATAGGAAAACATCTTGCAGCCACTGGGGAATATATCACCAGGGTTTGGTCCCCGAAATGTCAGTCACAGTATAGCTGGCTCAGTGGATCTGTTTTATTAGTGGTGTTTTACAAATAAGGTGCTGTCTCATACAGGATTCAAACCAGGGATGATGTATTGTCCTGTTTTTTCAGAAAATGACATATTGACATTCTGTTAGAAATAAAAATAGCTAACATTTTATCCCCGTTTCTCTAAAACATACGAGCTCAAAAATGTGATTGTTTTTGGAGTCACAAACAAGGCTTGTGTTGTTATCAGTGGGTGTTTGAGTAATGGAGCTGCGCCGCCTCAGTTATCCCACGCCCTACGGATTTTGTTTTCTTAATTTGACAGGCTGGTGTCGTAAATTGATTATTCCACTAATTAAGGGCATAATACTGCCCCAGAGACTGCTGATTTGTGCCTTGAAACCAAAACCGGCCTGACGAGGGTGTCAGTGCCCCCCCCCTCACCAAGGAATGTGTTAGAAATGGAAACACTGCTGTTTCACGAATCCAGTTAAAGCTGCAACCTTCCCAGAATGGGGGTAAAGGCTGATGCCCTGGTTCTGGGTGCTTGGGTCTCGGCAGTTGGGGTGCCGTATGTTCACCTGCAGAGCGGCAGTGTTGCTCCCCCAGGGACCTGCAGGTGTTTGTCAGTGGAGTTATTTCCATCGTCGGCATGCTGTGAGCAGCAGTGGTGGTGGTCAGTAACCAAGGACCTGAGCCACCTGGGCTCCACAGTGTTTCTGATTCACACGGCTAGCTTCCACAGACCCAGCGCGTTTAACTGGGCTGGGGGTTTTAAACTTTAGTTCTGGCCCTTAAGGCTTCAGTCACTCACCTGGAGGAAGTTGTATGTTATAATGCAGCCATCATTTACAAGCTGATTCTTTCTTACCACTGTTTTTATGAGTGAACTATTTTTAGGGCTTCAGCTTATTTCCTGATGTTTGTTTTTAATTTTGTAGCTTCTTGTGTATAATTCATAGGTTTGTGTGTTCTTTTTGTCTTATTGTGTAGTGTACTCCGGGCAATAGATTAACTCTTTCACCGCAGAATTTGTGCTCGTGGCATTTCTGTTAAAAACCAATAGATAACTCTAAGATAATAAAGCAATAAAACATCTAGAATGAACTGGAAGAAATGAAAATGATCCAGGTAGCATAATCTGTAGTGTGCAGTCAAAGCAAGCTGGCCTGTGGCATGCAGTTGGAGGCAGTGAAAAGTCTAATTGTCTGAAACCTTTAGGTAGAAATTAAAAATAAAAGCTCAATTTCTCTTTTCAGTACTGCAAGCTGCTCTTCACATGTGCTTTGCCTGTTCCTAGTAGGCTGTCTGTGAGTAATGGCCTCTGAATGTGCCGTATTGCGAGAGCACTGTGCACGATGCATGCATGATGGCATAATAGTGGTCAGTGGTGCCAGTGTGTAGAGAAAGGGGTGTCCAGTCCTGGTCCTGGAGGGCTGGTGAATCCGAGAGTCTCCCAGGTGTCTTTAAAGTGGCAGCACCTGAAGAACTGGGAAGGACGGTTGAACTGGTCCAGTTAAAACGAGCTGATTGCTTGACGAGCCGGTTCAGGTCGAGTGCCCAGCTGGCACTTAATCAGCCCTTCAGGACCAGCATATGGGATCACTGGTGTAGAGCCTCAGGTCACTGATCTCCTGCGCATCAGGCTTCCCAACAAGTAGAAGAAAATGCTGGGGGTCTCCATCTCTGGTGTGTTGTAGTGAAAGTTAGAGAAACACTTGAGCTGTGAGTGTGGAACAGTGATTGGGAATCTATTAATATTTTCCCCTTTAGTCATTTTTAAAAAAACCTTAGTCCAGTTTTCAGCTTCCATTTGCTCTGATTTTACCACCTTTGGTGCTGCTGAATTAATTGTCCTTGCAATCTTACGGCACTGGCAGTAGACCTCCTTGTCAAGCAATTGGTGAAGGAGGAGAGGAAATTCTTCCCCCTTTTTTGTGGAATCCCCCAATAACAGATTCAAAGTGACCATTCGTTTTATTAATCAATAAGCCAGTAACTCAGGTCAGTATACAGTAATGGTGCCTGGGAAAGTCAAATTCTATTGCGTTGAAAAAGCTTTTTGAGTTCTGTAACTTCACATGTATTTTTTTCTAATTTTGTAGCTTCTCAAAAGGAATTTACAGACATGGGTGTTCTTTTTTATTTTATGCATGTTGTGCTTCAGGCATTAATTTAACTCTTTCAATGCAGTTTGTGCTCATGGTGTTGCAATTAAAAGCCAACAGCTAGGTCTTTGAATGTGTGAACAAAAACTTTGACTTCCTGTGGGTTTGTGTATGGTTTTACCCAGAGCAGCAGCTGAGTGGAAATGGGCCCTAGTCTGCAGCTTTGGCTAGTGGTAACAATTTTCAATACACTTTGTCCAATCAAAGCCTGTTAATATGGGCTTACAGGAAGGGCTTGTTAAAACATTGTCCTTGGAATGCCCTGTAATGCCATACATAAAACACGTGGTCCGTCTACAACAAGGTGTTCATCAGGTACAGTCTTTTCTATAGAGATTAATTTACTAAAAGCTTGCTTGCCTGGTCTTGCACGAGGGCTGTTCTTGTTTATTCGCAGAGCTCTTTGGCCCAAGGGCACCTCATACTGTAAGCGCTTTGCTGTTTCACAAGACTGTTTTGTTTTGGCTCCATCAGAGGCCGTTGTCCACACGGTGCGTGTCGCAGGCAGTTTCCTGGTGCCTTGAGATGTAGTAACCGAAGCCGTTCCCCGCGCTGTTTTGCAGTTTGACTCAATGGGAGGTGAAGAGTTTAAGTGACACTTCTGTTTTGTTCATAATATCCATGTAGTGTAGTAGCCTCTCCAGCTCTGCAATATTCCAAGCTCTCTAGTGCACTACACTTGCTTTTAAAAATATTGGTGTGAATATTATAGACTTCCTTATCACTTACACTTATTACTAGTACCTTTTCAAGAGTGACTCAATACTGATTCATCCCAGCAAGCAGCAGGGAAAGCTCCAGGTGGAATAAATGAGTTCAAGCAATAAGTGTTGATGAACAGGACTGTCGTGTTACAGTTATAGGCATTTAACCTCCGAACAGCCGTTCTTATCCACATTTCTGAGAGCCGCCATGTGCAAGCCCACCCCTGGGGCCCAATGAACTGTGCGAATCTAATATGAGCAACACAAAGCCAATCGAGGCGTGGTCAGTGTGTCAGCCAGTTCGTTAAATCGAAAGTTTTTTTTCATTTCCAAGGTCTGAATGGGTTACTCATTATTAGATACAGGAAATTACTATGGAGTTACATTGATTGTAACACAGCATTCGTGTGTGCAAAGTTCAAAGTATTTGGAATCTGTTGTGGAATGTTCGGTATTGCCGGTCTCTCTCTCTTTCTGGAATCTTGTTGACATGTACAGTTCTTGTTTGTCGTGTTTATATATATCCCAAAAAACTTGTACATATTCAGATTAATCTTTATTTCTTTACTAGATTATTTTGACTGAAATAAATTATTTTAAAACTCCAATATCGTCTTTACTTATGTTTTGTTTTTGTAGCGAACTGTTCCTTAAAACCTCTGTTTACCAGGGTTGTCTGATGTTGGTCCTGGAGGGCCGGTGTATCGGCAGGTTTTCCTGAAGAGCAGTTAATTTCGTTCAAATAAGCAAATAATTTCGTACCTGAAGAGCTACGTTGTAACATAAACCTGGCAGAAACACGGCTTTCCAGGACCAGAACTGCACATCACTGTACCGTACAGCAGTCTTCTGCATGGTAGTTCACGTACTGTACGTCAGCTGGTCATTTTAAAAGCCAACAGCGCCCCCTGCTGGTAATAAAGATGCACTTCCTGCCAGGCGGTGCCTCCGGAGAGTTTTCATTTGTAGCTGCATTTCTGCAGTCCATCTCCAGGATACCAAAGTACATCACACGCAGGAGGGCACCCAGTCTATCCACCACTGAAGTACAGCCCCCGCCTGAGTGATGTGCAGCTGTCTTCCTGCTTTCCAGCAGCCTCACCGGTCAGAGGGGGGAGTAAGACATATGGGTCACACAACACCAGCCAGGGCACCGAGGTTTATATCTGTACTCTTCGAGCAGTGCCTTGGGATCTCTAATACCCGTGTGTGCAGGACCTTGGTATAGTGCCTCACTCGGAGGTTTACTGGACTATCAGCAATGCCCTTCAGCAGTCACTTGGTTTTCCGTGGAGGTCTCTCACCCCGGGACCGAACTGGCCCAGTCCCGTTTGACTTCTGGGAGCTGTCGCTGAACACAGCAACACAGCTGTCACGAGCTTTCCTTCAAGTTTAGAACGAAACAATCATTTCGTTTTTCATTGGATTTTGTTCCCTTTTCTTTTGGATGGGCGGGTAGCTCCTGGAGTTCAAAATGTGCCTGTTGTAACTAAAATAATGTTTGTCTACAGTCTTTAAGGGGTCCAGTATATTCATGCACCTGTTTGCTCTAAAGGAGATGGAAGAAAGACTACTCTTTATTTTCTTGGTTGTGTGTGGTCGCTGTTATTCAGTCACCGATACAAACTTTAGCAAGAGGGGGTCGAGCTTTCCAGTGAATTAAGTAATTTAAAGTATGGTGTCCATGCTGTTTTTACAACTCTGCAATAAATGGATATTGGGTGGGGTTAGTAAGTGCTCATTAAGTGAGATTTTGTCAGTTATTTTAGTTGTTTAAACTTAATTACATATTATCATTGTTGGAGTGAGGGCTCTCTGAACTGTGTCAATTCTCAGCAACGTGTGCCCGGCAAATTGAAACTGGTGGGCTTTTCCAGGGTGGTGTCCATCCATGTACAGTTGAGCCAACCCCGTTTGTCTGAAGCATGACTAAAACAATTTAAAAACTCTTTTACTGGGCATACAGCTTTTTCTTGAACTCGTGAACTCTCTCCCATACCACACACACTTTGCTGTGCCCTGGCGACGTGAGGGTTAAGTCGGCGGAAGCGGCGCTCCTGCCCCCGGAAGTGAAAGCCTGAAAGATCAACAACAACTGGGGAACGAGCGGAATGAGGAAGGCACGGGCAGCGGAGAGAGAGAGAGAGGAGCAATCTTTCGGAGGAATAATTTTCTAAATATAGAGGCCGCTGCGCCTCCCCTCTCTGGGTAGAGCGGAGTTGCGCGGTGTCGTGCATGGGGACACCGCCAGCGACGCCGTCGTTTCCCGCATTACAGCGAATTCCTCTGTTCATTTTTACACAATTCGATAACACTTGCGAGCATCGAAGGTAAAACATCTGTCCAAGGATTTGCTTCAAGATGTCACCTAGCCAGCTCACCGAAGCACGAGGAAAGTAAGTTGTTCCTTTGTATTTAAGCAACGTGCGGCGACTCCCTGTGTTGCTGTCAGATCAGGGAAGTGCCGTTTTCCCTTTCAAGCCCGGCTGTCATCTACGTGCACATTTCAGAGAGTTGCGGACCATATGGGTCCCGTGGAGCCATGAATGCGCTTTTTGATGTAAGTGTAATCCGTCACGAAGTGGGGAAGCATTCACACTTCTGGAGCTGGATTATTACAAAGTTAAGGGGAAATTTTAAATATTGAACGCGTTATGTAGTGCAAAAGTGTCTTTTAGTGTATATTTAAGAGTGCAACCGTGTTATATCTGAGCTAAGATGCCAGACAGCCTGCCCCTAATCTTGTTACTTGAAACGCTGCCGCCGCCGCTCCGACAGGGACATTAGTTCTCAGAAGCAGCGGTTCCCGTCGTTGTATAAAACAAAGATACCCTTGATGTCCATAACTGTTCGGGGCGTATTTGTGGAAACGGTCTTTGTACCAGGCGCGACCTGTAAGTTACAGGACTGTAGTTGGCGGGGGGGGAGTCGTGGTGTAGCGACGGTTTGACTTGAATGTTTCATACTGTAGCCGTTGCCTGTTCGACCTCGAACGACCCTCTGCATTGTAAATGGCCGATGGCACTGGGCTAGCTGGGTATTTCCTTTGCAAAGTATTGTAAAGAACAGTCAGGTGGGATGGACGAATTGCAAGGGTCAATGTATCTTTAATTTTGCTCGTCCACTCGCCGGAGCCGAAGACAGTAATGAGGCTCGGTGTGTGTTGCTTGTGATCGTGATTATTTGGGCATTAAGTGTAAGGCTTAGAAACAGTGGCGCTCTGGAAAAGACCAGCCCAGTCGGTCTTGTGATTACTTTGTTCCATCAAAGCTCTTGGGCACAATTACTATACACAAGTGATGAAAGTTCCCGTTTATATAAGTGAGTCTATTTGGTGATAAGTTATTTAGACCTGTAAAAGTCTAAATAACTTTTAAATAAAATCCTGTAGGATGATGGTTTTCCAACAATAGCTCTGCTGACATTTATCTTCTCAGTAAATAAGGTTTCACATTTATATAAATCATCATTTAGACTAACAGCCTTAAGAATTTTGTAAAACCTGTGAAACTATTTAATGAATTGCTTGCTGCCCTCTTCAATAATTCTGTGGCAATGGAGTGTTCTTGGGCAGGGCTCTATGGCTGTGGTCCAGGAGAGCCACAACTCCAAGGTGTTTATAAGCGGGGTTACACCAGTGATTCCCAACTGCAATCCCTGCGAGCTGGAATTCGGAAGGGCTTCCTGTAGCTTTTCAAGTTCGAAGCCGCTCTACAAATAGATGACGTCTTCAACTGATCCAATTAAAGTTGAACCAGTTTGTCCCGTCTCCCAGCCTTGAGTGGCTGATCATTTACAAGAATGTGCTGGATTGGAGACACCGAGGACCTGAGTTGGGAACCTGGAAGAGACATGGACTAGAGTTAGTCCAGACATCAGCCATCTGTGGATCGTAAATCCTGAAATTAAACGCGTGACATCTCTGGGAAGTAGGAATAGTGGCTGCTAAAGTTGTTATAACTTATGGGGAAGACTCTTAACTTGCACTGAAAAGCATATACAGGTGGTTCTATCTCTCAGAGCTTCGCCCTCAATGCAAAAACTCTTTTTGATCTCCAGAAGCTGAAGACTTTATCTGTCGGGCCCATAACAGAGCACAGCTGGCTGCAGCTGGCTGTGATTCTCCTCACACGATGCGTCCCTCTCCCACCCCTGGGTCGCTGTCGGCATGCCCAGGGCATTCGTGTCCTGAAGAGGCCACCCTCAGGAGGATGCGAGTATAGCCTAGGACTGAGACAGCAGTCTTGGGGAGCTCCACCTCCAGTGTTTAGGATCTCTGTAGAGGAGATATTGTTGCCAGTTTTTACTACCTGGGGCCTGCCCATCAGGAAATCCACTATCCAGCTGCACATAGAGTTGCATCAGATTCCTGAGATTTGGGACCAGCTTAGCGGGAACAACTGTCCCACATCTCTGGCTGCTGCACTGAATAAAGTGTTTGGGAGGAAGTCACTGTGAACGTTTTGCTTTAAGGGCATAAGAACAGTTCCAGTGGAGAGGAGGCCATTCGGCCCATCTAGCCTGTGTGGTAGTTAGCAGCTGATTAAGCCCAGGATCTTGTATCCCATCCAGGTGTGTTTTCAGAGAAACCAGGGTATGAGCTTCAGCAACATGGCTGGGTAGCTTTTTGGGTTAAACAAAAGTGCCTCCTGTTTCTCGATTTTAAATGCACTTCCCCATAATTTCCACTTGTGCCCTTCGGTTCATGTTTCACTGTTTGTGCTGAAGAAGTCTTCTGTGTTGACTGTGTCAGTGCCTTTGAGGAATTTGAACACTTGTATCAGGTGCCCTTCTAGTCTTCTCTGTTTGAGACTACCAGGGTTCAGTTCCTTCAGCCTGTTACTCCAGGACAGGACACTCTCCTAACCTGCAAACTGCAAGTGTTTTAGTTGTGCTAAACCGTGTGGCAGTGTGCAGCTAGTTCCCCCTGGCTAACTGCAGTGAGCACAGCAGCTAGCGTCAGCAGTCACTTTCACTTTCCATTTCCCCGTGTCACAGAGAACGGACTCTCACCCTCCCCGTTTCCACAGTGTCCATTTCATTCTGAACGGCTGGTGTTCTTTTTTCAACCTGTCCCCTGGTCACTTGATCTGGATCCAGTAGTGGGATTTCACCCGAAGAGCAGCGGGCGAGTGGTGTTCGTAAAGAAACAAGGAGCACTGTTTCTTTACGAAGAGTGAGTGACGGTTTTTTTTTACATTTAAAAGAATTTAACATGCGGATATAGGGAACGTGCCCCTGGATGGTCCCGATCCAGCTGCGGAGGGTGGGTGTGTCTGCAGGTTTTCACAGCCTCACTTCATCTGAGTGTGTTCTTTGCTTTAAAAAAGCTCTTTTATGGTATCATTTTTTTCTGGATGCTTATTTGAATATAATGCAATGGGTAAAGCTTGAAATTTCCCTGAATTGTGGAGAAAGGCAAGGTTAGTGTCTTCTTGCAATATACATATTTTTCCCTGTGAGCTTCTTGCATGGAATAGAGTGGAAAAACCTAAAGATAAACAGCAGTGATTCTGTTGATAAGGGGGCTCTGCCGTTTTTTTAAGACATAAAGAGGGTTCTTAGAAAGTCACATACTTGGTTCTGTGTAGGGCATGGCCCCAGTGTTCCTCAGGTAATTGTGATTGCTTCTGCTTGTCATGTCGAAGTCAGTAGTTAAATCGTTTTGCCAAGTTTAGCAACTTTCCAGGATTTTTTAGAGACGGAGGTTGGGTGCTTCCACAGGGAATCCTGTGGACTCCTGTGGGAGTCCAGCTAGGGATGTCCCCCAGCTGTGCCCTGGTCCTGCTGTCTTTCCGGCGTCCTGACCCCCCCTGCCGTCTCCCTCTTCGTCCTCCCAGCAGGTGAAGGTGGGCGGAACATGAGGGCAGCAGGACCAGAAGCTTGCGATGGATAAGAAGGCTCGCAGTGCTGGCAGGAAGAGCTCAGCACCGGAGCCGGCCCGGAGCGCTGGCGGTGCGTGCCACGGCCTGCCCCTCCCCCCGGGGCCCTTGTCGGCATGCGGGGACGGGGGGGTCGGCCCGGGGGACCCATCGGCCCAGCAGACGCGAGGGAGCCCCGTGAGGGTGGAGTCCTGTGGGGCTCTGGGGGACCTCGGGGAGGAGGCACCGGTGGAGCCCGTGCCCTCTCTGGATGAGCTCCTGGACGCTGAGCCCGAGACGCCGGCTGCAGGCTCCAGTTCCCACAGCCCACCCCCCCTGCCCAACGGGGCCCTGAAGGTTGAGGAGTGGGGGGGGTGGCGTGCAGGGGGGGGGAGCGAACAGCAGCCGGAGCCCTGGGACCCCCAGGACCCCCAGGACCCTATTTCCAGTGGGAGGCTTCAAAGTGTGGGAGAGGAAGACGCAGGGAGTTCTGGCGGCTTCGAAGCAGAAAGCAAGGTGGATTCCAACAGGCAGCGACGGCTCTCGGGAGAGCCAGGAGCAGCTGGATCTGCGGGATGGGAGGAACTGGAAAAAGAGGAGGAAGACGAGGGGGAAGAGGAAGAGGACGGGGGAACGGAGTTGAGGGTGGATGGGATATCGTTCCCGCGGAGGGCAGGGAAGAGGCAGAAGGGCAGAGAGAGGGACCGGCCAGCGGCTGGGGAGCACCCGATCTCCTCCTCCTCTTCCAAGCCACCTGTGTCCTCAGGGGGGCGCCACAAGCAGGCAAGGCGGCGGAACAACGCCGGCCACCACCACCAGAGCCGATCCAAGGGCTCTTCCACGCCCCGCGCCTTCCTGGCCTGCTGGGATCTCCTGTCGGAGTCGGTGTGGCCCCGGTGCGAGTCCTGCCTGCGGATGGTGGTGGAGTTGATCGTGCTGGTGACGCATCGCTGTGGGGAGTGCGTGGAGGCCGGGGGCGCTCTGGCATACAGCAGCGGCTCCCAGCTGCTCTCCAGAGCCACGGACATGGGCGCCATGAGGAGCGAGGCCAAGCGCCTGAGCCGCGGCTTGCACAGGCGGGGCCGGCGGGCCGGGGCGGCCCTCCTGGACTGGGGGACCGTCGCGGCCACAAGGGGGCGCCGCCTCCTGAGCGCCCTCCTCAGCCTGCTCTGCCTGGCCTTCTTCGTCTCCCTCGGCTGCTTGCGCTGGGCGGGGAGCGCGATGGAGAGGCGGTGTGGGGGCAGGCCGGGTCGAGCCTGGGAAGCGCTCTGTGAGACCAGGGTCTGGGGGCTCCTGGTGGGGCTCTGGGGGAAAGTCAGGACCGCGGCGTGGGGTCTTCCCTCCGTTTCCTCCTCCTCCTCCCCCCCCCCCAGCGCAGCCCCGGAGTCCCCCGGCGGGACGGGGCGCTGCCAGCCCGGACAGGAGCTGGAGAGGCTGCTGGCCCTGGCGCAGGTGCCGGAGGAGGAGCTGGACCCCTTTAAGGTGCTGGGTTTGGAGGCCAGTGCCACGGACACCGAGCTGAAGAGGGCGTACCGGCAGCTGGCGGTGCTGGTGAGTGAGGGGGCCCCACACTGTTGTGCGCATGGCACACTCTTTTGCTTTCTTGGAGAAGATGGAAATGTTTATGGCCTGAACTTGTGCTTGTAGGAGAAGCAGGGAGGCAGAGCAGATGCCAATTGAAAGGCCATTTTTAATTTCTTTTACGCTTTCAGATTTTAGAAGAGCTGAGGCCACCAGGTTCCAGATAGTCCAAGCTGGGGCCTCAGTTTGCCGTGTATATCTTCTGCTTCCTCTGCGCTGTTCGGTTAAGATCACACAGACCTTAAACCCTGAAGATGGGACCAGTGGCTGCTCAATGGGGGTCTTGTTTCTCTGCAGAGGGCTGTTCAGCAGATTGGATTGAACACTAAACCGTATAGAATAGCTACATGAATATGTGTTTATTATTAACCACTTTCATTATGAGGACAGCATTGCTGCCTCACAGTGCTGGGGCCCTGGGTGCAGTTCCTGACCTGAGGTGCTGTCTGTGTGGAGTTTGTATGTTCTCCCCGTGTTCATGTGGGTTTTCTCTAGGTGTTCTAGTTTCCTCCCACAGTCAGTCCAAAGAAATGCTGGTAGGTTAATTGGCTTTTGGGAAAATTGGCCCTGGTTTGAGTGCGTGTCTGCCCTGCCATGGACTGGTGTCCCAGCCAGGGTGTACCCTGCCTTGCGCCCGTTGTTTGCTGGGATAGGCTCTGGCCCCTCAGTTGGAAGAAGCATTTAGAAAATAGATAGATCGATTATTTGGATGTAGAAAGATGGAAGACAGGGGTGGGAAGCGCCAAATGTTTCACAAAGTGTTTTAATACACAGATGTCTCCGTTTCATTTATTTTCACAGCTGTATTGTCATGGCAGCTGCAGTTTGAATGGGACATGGAGAAATGTGTCTCCCCAAATGGCCTGAACACACTTCTGGCTTCTGTCTCTTGCTTGAAACACCAGAGCTTGTAGTTTCTGAGATGAGCAACGTCTTGAAAGACTTGACTTTATTTCTGATAGGAGAAACCTTTCTTGCAAAGCAGTCTTTTCCACAGAAATCCCCCTCCCAGAGTCGTCAGTATCCTGCCGGCTAAACTTTAAACGTGATCAAGCTTAATTGGATGATCACGAAGTGAGCAGACAGCAGCCACCTAGCCATATGTCAGACATGTAATGTTTGTTGGAATTGAACAGAATTGCTTTCTCAGTCTGGGTTTAAATTTGCAGAGTTGTCCTCAAAACATGAACAGTAAACCTGTAAATGTGAAACGCATCTAATCTGGTTTTTGTAATGCATAGACAGTCCACCAGAGGACGCCAGCGCGTTGTGGAAAACAGCTGTGGTCAACTCATTACTGCTATCGTCTGCACTGCTCCTCTGCTGCTTACTGCTTTGCACATGGCAGAAAGTGCTTATTTTGTATTGATATGTCCTATAGCAGATGCTTCTGAAATGCTTTAATCTTTTAGAATGTTATAGCTAAAATTTCCAAATCTGGGGCAGCAGCACAGGTCAGTGGGATCTCAGTTGAGGTCCTGCTGTTAAACCTTTCAGGACAGCTCTTCAGTCTGGATTTCTTCAGTAAAACAGCCTGCTGTGTGAATGGGTTTTCATGCTTGTCTCTGTGAACTCTGTGAAGAGTGCATCTTTTAATTCGTGTTGACCGGACTTCTCAAAAAAAAAAACCTTGTTGTAATTCAAGGTGAGCTGTATATTTATTGCCAGAAAACAGCTCATTTACAGTAAGGTTTAAAAGCATTAGGCACAAAGAAGGACTACATCCTGGATGTGATCCCAGTTTTATCACAGGGCATACACACGCGCATAAAGCACACAGGCACAGTTGAGAGACAGTACGTCTTTGGAAGGCACACCTCAGCACTCAGAGAAGATGGTTGCGTATGTGGTGGAAACACGCATACTCCTCACAAAAGGTTTCAGAGTTTGAAATTCAACCCAGAATGAAGATCTGGGAAGCTGCAGCTCTACCTCGCTTAGTACCCTGTTACCCCACACTGTACATGAACAGCCAGTATGAAGTGATGTAATAGCAAATCCATCACATTTACCAGTGGAACCTCATCGGCTAATTGGCAGGTGTTCTTCTTCATTAGCAACATTTGATCTTTTCTACACATCCATGAAGCTAATGCGAATATGTTTTTCTACAATTATACGTTAAAATGGCTAGAATATCTGCAAAAAGTTTACCAACAAACTGCATGAAGAAGGAAAAGCAACAGTTCCTTTCTCTTCTACTCTTACCCTTCCCTTCTTGATCTTTCTTTCCTCCATCTCTCTCTGCTGGCTCGGTCCTATCCCGCTCTCTTCCCTGCCTGGGCTCTTTCCACTCAGGTCCACCCGGACAAGAACAAGCACCCCCGTGCAGGGGAGGCCTTCAAGGTGCTGAGGGCGGCCTGGGACATTGTGAGCAACCCTGAGACCAGGAGGGAGTACGAACTGTAAGTGCCTCATGGTGAATGATCGTACCTTCGGGCACCGAGGGGTGGAGTGAGGCACAGCGACTGGGGTGATCTGCACGCTGAGGCATGGCTTCTCAAAGAGCTAGGCTAAACAGCACCGAGAGCAGGGAGCAGGAAATGGAGTAGCAAACAGGACAACGCAAACAGAAAATACTTTGCTGAAAGGTGCCATTTTTACTTAAAGGATTCTCAGTACTGTCATAGAAAGAGTCTTTGATCTGTCACGTGTACTGTCACACAGCTTTGTTAAGTGCCTTGGGGCAACCTTGTTGTGAAAGGCGCTATATACAAATAAATTGATTTGAATCTGTCTTAAGCTGCGATGATTGTGTGCAGTTACAAGTATGTTTGGTCAGAAGGCCTCAGCTTCTGTGTGGGTGTTCTCCTGCAGGAAGCGCATGGCTGAGACAGAGCTGACCAAGTCCATGAATGAGTTTCTCACCAAGCTGCATGACGATCTCAAGGAGGCCATGAACACGATGATGTGCAGCAAGTGTGAAGGCAAGCACAAGTAAGTAGCCCCTCCTCAGGGCAGCCTGGTCTGAGGTTTCCCCCGTCGGTTTTGGACATTTTTCATTTTAAAATAACTGGTGTAATTTTTCTGAACAGCGTAAAAACAATTGAATAATGCAGGCTGTTTCCATAAAAGGTATGCTTTCATAAAGGCCTCCACTCAGATGTTGCGTCCTATGACAGGGATTCCCGGATATCCACACAGCTGCTGGTTTTCATTCCAGCTGAGATTCAGTTTCTAATTGATGACTTAATTGAACTCGCAAGTTTGCATGATTAGAATGTTTGCACTTTGGTCCCCTTTGATTGAGCCTGGCGTGAAGGATTCTGGGAATCGGAGATGTAGTGGGAGTGCTGAGGCCACTGGCCCTGTCTGTTTGTGCAGGCGGTTTGAGATGGAGCGGGATCCCGGTGAAGCCCGGTTCTGCGCAGAGTGCAGCAAGAGGCACAGCGCTGAGGAGGGCGACTTCTGGGCTGAGTCCAGCATGCTGGGGCTGCGCATCACCTACTTCGCCCTGATGGACGGGAAGGTCTATGACATCACAGGTGTGTGATTTACGTAGTGATTCTGCTGCCCAAGGAGCTGTGGCCAGTTTTAGATTGTGGTGTTTATTTCTGGTTTCCATTCTCTCAGACCTTAATGACTTAATGACTTTGAGTCAATTAATCATCTGCAGTTTCCAGGTATTAACCAGGTGCTAATTGGAAGGTGCCTCTAAAATCTATAGGAACCAGTCACTTAAAGACCAGGCTTGTCTACCTCTGGGCAAATGCATTGCCTGTCTGTGATCTAAGAGGTGCCAGTTCTCGTGGCCTGAAGGATGGTAGCATTTGTAATTTGACCCCTGGTTGTTATTACAGAGTTTGACTAAGTGTTTAACAAGAAGTGCAATTAAAGACCCATTTTCTCAGTCTTAACGAGTACCAGATTGAACAATACCCGTTAAATCTGCAGGAATTTGGCCTGTGAGGACTGGAATGCCAGTTCCTGCTTTAGGTTTATCCTTAAGAGACCCTTGAGTTCCTGTTTAAGTGAGGACCCTGATTAAGGGAAGAGGTGTCCATGTAAGTAGCATGAGAATGAGCAAAATACAGAGCAGAACTATAGGCCTCCTGAGTCAGTAAAGGCTCCTTCTGCTATGAAGCCTGAGCCCTGCAGTGCAGGGATTACTGTTCTGAATTCATTGAGTTGTTTTGAACGAAAATATAGAGTGCTTTGACTATGGAATTCCCTCTGACCTTCAGGAAAGTGGATTGTATTCTGGGGAGGAATGTAATTCCCCAAGTGGCAGTTTCACAGTTCAGCATTGATCCCTGTGGCCAGGAGCCTCTGAGATTTTAGTCTTAAAGGTCAACCTTGCATCAGTTCCCCCAGCTGATGCCTCAGCACCTCCGGGCTTGCATTGTAAAGGAGAACGGTTGCTGGCTGTCCTCACACCGTTTTCCCCAGGACGATACGTGATTTATTTATTGAGGTCTTTTCAACAAATAATGTAGACTTCTTTGGCACCGTGGAAAGCCCCTGTGAGCCTCAACAATGTAGATGACTAGAGTGTCTTAATCTCTGTCCCATTCTCCCTTTCCCTCCCTCTACCTCTCTCCTGTCAGAGTGGGCAGGCTGCCAGCGGATCAGCATCTCTCCAGACACCCACCGGGTGCCCTATCACATCTCCTTTGGCGCCAAGAACAGTGGCGGCGCTGGGCGACACAGGTAAGATCCTCTACTTTCGTTTGACTTCCAGTCCTCAGGTTTAGGTCCAGTATCTTCCAGAAACCATGCAAGGAAAATGGACTGAATAGAGTCCTCTTGTCTCATTTGTTTAACCAGTGTAACCAATGAATATCATTCAATAGTGTAATCTTCATGGGGAAATTGTTGTACTACAATGGCCCCCTATGGTAAACCAGAGCGATTCTGACTGCGATGGTCCCCAGTGTGAACGGTAAACCAGTGTGAGTCTGACTGCGCTGGCCCCCAGTGTGAACGGTAAATCGGAGTGAGTCTGACTGCGCTGGCCCCCAGTGTAACGGTAAACCAGAGTGAGTCCGACTGCGCTGGCCCCCAGTGTGAACGTTAAACCAGAGTGAGTCCGACTGCGCTGGCCCCCAGTGTGAACGGTAAACCAGAGTGAGTCCGACTGCGCTGGCCCCCAGTGTGAACGGTAAACCAGAGTGGGTCCGACTGCGCTGGGCCCCAGTGTGAACAAACCAGTCTGACGCCCGACCCCTCCTCTCTGTTTCTCTAGGACTCCCTCCGAGACTGTCCCAGGTCCAGGCTCTGCCGCTGATTTGCAGGACTTCTTTAATCGCATCTTCCAGGGCTCCCCCAATGGTATGGCCAACGGGAGCTTCTTCCCTCCGCCCCCTCCCCCACCCCACCCGGGGGCCGCACATGGCAGCCACACCTTCCCTGCCGCTCCCACCCCTCCCGGCGGGTACCCCCCAGGAGCGGGCCGGGCGGAAAGCGCCCCCAGGACCGAGAGTGGCGGCAGGCCGCGGCGCCGCAAGAAACTACGGCGGCCCTTCCAGCGCTGAGGAAGTGCCAGCCCATGCGTGTGCGTGCGCGTGCTGTAACACACACACAGAAACACGCGGTCTCTCTCTCTCGCGCGCGCGCCCACGCCCACGCGCTCCATGACCCAGCAGGAGAGCGGCGGGGCCTCGCAGAGGACAGGAACGGACAGCGGAGACCCATGGGAGATGAACACGGGAAGAGTAGCCATACGGAAGAAGCTAATCCGGATCTTAACGTTCTGTGTATTGTCGAACACTATGCTTTTGATTTTGCTTTTTTTTTTTTCCCGTCTCGAGATGGTGTTTATGGAATCGGCCGAAGGTTTGTTCCTTCGCCTGTGATGTCACGCTGGCATCCGCAGGATCATTGTGCAGAATCCGCTCCGATCTGGCTCCCACAGCCAGCCTTTAGAAGAGTCGGTGCGGAGTTTCCAGATATGTTTCAGTGTCACGGCAGGATGCGATTCTTGGATCATAAAACCACAGCTCGTTATGAAGGGACGAAAGGCCCGTGCCTCTTTTGTAACCTCCCTCTCTGTTTTGAGTTGGCCTTGGGGCAGGGATTGGGCTGCAGGTGAAGATTTAGAGTCGGAGATGTCCAAACGCACACGGGCGTAGCCGATTTCATAGCTGTGATGCCGGCGGTGAGGCTACGCCTCCTGTCTGAAGCTGAGCTGGGGTGTGGCGGGTGGGGTGTTGTCAGGAGGCTCCTGGTCCTTCAGTAGCAGCATCATCATCTTTCAGCTTTTAATTCCACGGAGAGTGAATGTAGGATCTCTTTATTTTAACGCCTCTCTGAGGGGCTGAAACCCTATTTCTTTTTCTTTCTGTAGTTGCAAAGAAGCCACTAAAAATAATGTTCCATGGCAGGGAGATGCAGGGTGAGACCTCCTGCAGTGCTCCTCCACCCCAGGCCTTGAATGCAACAATCCAGCAAATCTCCGGAAATTTTCAGAACTTTTTTGATATATACAACAAGGCGTAAATGCTTTTGGAAGGTGGCATGTGAAGAGTATACTTGTTCTTGTACAGGCACACACGCTGGCCGCTCCTCTGGAAGTCAGTAAAGTGAAATGGGGAGTTGTTCCAGCCCAGTGGCTGTGCACGGAAACGCACAGTGCCTGGACTGGCTGTGCTTTTTTTGTTCTCTTAATACTTGAGGGAAGTTCACGTTTCCACCCAGATCCAGTTGCAGGCTGACCTTTGACCGTGTTTTCCTGTCATTGTCCTCACTCCCCCCCCCCCCAGCAGAGTTATTTTTCCCAAAATGACAACTATGCTGCTCGCATGAGCTGCTTGCCTGAGCCCTGTGTGGCACGGGGACCATACTTATCAGTGACTTTTTATATATTAAGTTGATGCTTTGAAGAAATTAGGAGATTCTATTTTTCTTAAAGGAAAATTAAAACTCGCTCTTTACTGAAAGCTTATTTCATCCCTATCTGCATCTGTAACCTTTCTTTTTAGGCTCATGTAAAGCCAGGAAGTATTTTTGAGTTCTAATCTCCAATTTCTGCTGGTGGTCTATTACATTACATTCTCCATTATATTGCAGAATATACTTTTAAGCTTGTTGGCAAAGTTTTTACCTTTCTTCGATGAAGAAAACAAGCAGTTTAAAGGTTTCCAGTATTCTAAGCTGGTGAGCATTTTTGATTGACACTTACCTGTCTCTCATCGTTGCGTATAGACACGAAGCTCAGTGACAGGGCTCATCATTCTGTTTAAACCCAGCAATAAGTGCGGTCATCACTGGCCCTATCAGACCACAGGGCTGTGTACTCCACGATGGACAGATGTCCATCTGGGGTTTAGGCTTCCGAGATAGACTCAGGGTTGCCGTCACCCTGACCAGGAGTAAGCGGGTTTCCATTATTAGGTGGATGGTTTAGAAATTCTGAAAGCATTTACAGAATTCAAAGTCCAGTGAGCACATGGGTAAAGATGTGCAAAAATGCAGGAATACAGTAGTAGGTGTTCAGTGTAAAGAAGAACATAACCTGACCAAGGAGATCATGTGCGTCTGGCATTGGGGGGGGGTTAAATAGCTATTGACCGTAAGACAAGGGGGAATGGTGGAACACTTCATCCACTAAATCCAGAAAATGTATTATTTCTGCTAACATTTGAATAACCTCCAAAAGATCGTATGTTGGCTTGTTTGAAAGGTGCACACTGGTAAATAGTTTTCTTACCCTTGTAGCAGAGGAAAATTGCAACCCGGCACTTGGACCAGCTCTGGGGACAGGAGAGGACTTGGGTTAATATTCCAGATCATGATGACTGTAACAGCTGTGTTCAAAATGAACCCTCTTTGACCATTTGCACCACAGGCTAAAGAAACGGTGATCTCCCTTTCAGAAAGGCAACGGAAATGCAAGATTTATTAGAGCCGGAAAATTAAAGCATCCCAGATTTCAGGGTGGGCCAGCATTAGTCAAATACAGCTCTTTCCAGTCCATTCCATTTCAGGTGTCCAGTATAGCTTGCTACTTAATTATATAGTTGACTTAGTCATTGGTTAGACAGCAGGAATTGCTGGAGAAAGAATGCGTTTTTAGAAGGACTGGTGTTTTGCTGCTTGTGGATGAGCCTAACAAAACTTTTAATACTGCTTGGAAGATAGCTTTTTATTAAAATATACCAGAAAGGACCTAAATTCTTAACTTTTATGATTTCAAGAAATCAATGCATGTCATTTTTCACATGAGCTTTCCACAGATTTCTTCCCCATAGCAGTGATCACCAGTCCTGGCTTTGAATGCCAGTGTCTCCAGACTTTCATCCCAGCTCAAGTGTTTCTTTATATGCAAAGGACGTTTATTGTATTTCAGTTAATCTGTGTTTAGAAGGAGCCTTGGATTGGTGTGATGGAATGGCCTTCCTGTCCAGCAGTTAGCCAGAGCCTCTTGAAATTATTCCACCGTCCACCCAGGCAGATGTTAGCTTGCAGCTGGAAGAGACGAGGATGGTATATCTGCCCCTGCAGAGGTCCAGCTTGTATGGTCCACCTTACCCCATGCTCTTGGGCTACAGCTTATAAAAGCTGTTGCCAGTGAATGGGAGAACCTTGGAAATCACCCCCTTAGTCCTTGGTGTGACAGACCTTTCCTCTCCTGCCTGAGGTGGAATGAGCTGGGGGTCCCGCCCCTGAGGTTGAAGCTGGGCTTGAGCAGGAAGGGGGAAATGGGGGGCCTGTCTGACTCTTCTGAGCCTGATGCCTGATGCCTGAGGCCTGAGTCTGAAGAACGGAGTCTCGGTCTGCACTTGTTCAGGGGTGGCTGTTTTGCAAACCTGCCATCCTGCTGGAGGCAGCTGTGTTGTGTGCTTGGACAGCACACCCTGCCTCTTCCATTTAATTTCAGGGTAAGGCTGATCCTTAGCATTCAAAGTGCTCTTCAGGAACTGGGTCATAGTGGGAATGAAGGATCAGTTTAGCGTGAAATGTGTCGGAGAAATCAGTTCTGTTGAAAGGCTCCGGTCTGGAAAGAATCAAGCTAGCCCACCCCTGATCTAGCACAGTTGGGTGGAGTGGGTTGGGGGTGGGGGGTGATTGCAGAGGCACTTGTGCCACCCGTTAGGGGTCAGAATCATCAGTCAACTCAGTTTTGTCCACAGGAGGGAAGAGAAAAAAAGTGATGTGGGCAGAATACAAACTCGCTAGCCCTGCCGCCTGGGACATGGTAGTGAAGCATCTGTGAAATGTAAGTTATATGCAAAAACAAAAGTGTATATATTGCAAAAAAGTGATTTGACAATCATGGGGATTCAATGTGCGAACAGTGTTTCTTCCGCTTTTGGGAATGGAGGGGGGTGGGGTCTGTTCTGGCTTTATTTGTAAGAATTGTAGCACTGCAGAACATGAAGATTGTTGAAAGAATATTCTTTTTGGATTCCTAGTAAAGCTGATTTCTTACAGCTGGGACTGTGCTGTGTGGAGTTCAGAGATGTGTGTTCTGACTGTGTTTTGACATGCTGGTGTCGAGTGGGCCTGGTGGGGTGGTGTAAATAGAGCTGACGGAGGCTGGTGCCTTCTCTGACATGGACCACAGCACAGGGACTGATGGGAAAGGAATTAAAATGACATGACCAGGTTCATTCAGATTCAACCAAAGTGTATGTTTATTTCATGTATATTTGTGTCTGTCACTTATAAGTTGCAGCAGAAATCAAATTTATCCAGTAGTTTGAGTTTACTGTTAACATCTTACATTTAGTACTGATGTGTATACTCATGTGTTCGTCGAGGTCAGCCTTCAGTCTTTGTCAGAGCAATGGGCAATGGGATTGTACTCTGTGCAAACACACAAATAAGTGAACCTCTTCATGAAGATGTGTATTGATTTGCTGACATAGCTTTGATCCTCTATCTAAAACTATTTCATTTTGAACATTTTCCTGAGTGTTCAGTCAGTTTAAATAAGGTAAGAACCTTTGAGGAAATATAGCACTTATTTAATAAGCTAACCCTTAACAGGTAGAGGGAGCCAATACATAGGTCTGTTGCTCTGCACCCTGGGGAAATACTGTTAAAAATGGCAGTGATCTAAGAAGGAATTCATTACAAAGAGGATCATTTCAGTTTTGTGGAATTCAAACTGTGGTCTGTTTGTTCAGCATGATGGACTAACTCAGTATAGGATCCCAGGTTCCTTATTTTTTCTAGGAACAGTGCTGATTCACTGCGTGCAGCTGCATCCATCTATTCTGCTGTGCTCCCATTAATTTGCACATGGAGTTGGCAGTAAAGTGGTGCAATCGATAATTTGCCTCTTATTTGCCGATGATTAGCTTCCCAGGCATATGGCTTTCAGTTTTCATGCGTGGAATGAAAGAACTGCAGAAACAAGCAGAGAGCCTCATCCTGGCCTGGCCTCTCGTTGGCCGATGAGAGTGGTGTTCTTGCCTACTCAATCCATTCGGGCCTTGTGTGACTGTGTGATCTTCATGCATCCTTGGTCTTTGCTCTTTGTGCTGCTCATCTACAGCATCTCCTCACTCGTGCTGCCCTCCAGTCTGTGATGACAAGAGCCGTGCATTTCTGGCATTGTCTGATACACTAACCTTTAAGGCAGTAAGTGATGTAATTGTAATTTTCTTAATTGCAGCACAAGGAAGAACAAACCCATCTTTATGTGTCGGCAGCAAAACATTCTTATTGCTGTTCTGTTTCATCTGCAGAACAGGTCCTACAGGTTCCCTCAGTTGTACAATTTTGCTACAATATGAGCAATGTAATAATTAAGGAGCTGGTTCTATTAAATTTCTGCTGTAGAGTAGATTGGAAAATGCCACTTGACGTTACAAAATTAGATGTGTCAAACAAACCTGTTCTGTTGCTTTAACAACAAAAAACATTCAGCTAAACCAGGGTTAATTATGCAGGAATATTCTTTCGTTTTCTTGGTAATTTATTTGATCTTCGTGGTAATTTTTGCAGAAGTGATCTTTGCTGGGACAGTTCATCGATCATCAAGGCTACAGGAACTTTGATCTTGCACAACATGATAAATGATACAATAGGTTTATTCCGCGCTGAAAAGAGAAAACACAATGTTTCAGCTGTGGAGCTGGTGGCTGTGTTTGCACCCGAAGAAGGCTCTAGAGCCGAAATGTTGTGTTTTCTCTTTTCAGCATGGAATAAACCTATTACTTGTTCCTTTGCAGCATACAATTATGATAAATGAGAAGATGAGGACAACCTGTTTATTAAAGGCCTTGTTTGACAGGAAGCCACCCACATGGGCAGCTCCTGTTCTTGCTTTGGGACTTTAATTGATGTTCATAGTTCTTTCAGACATGATATCAAACCCCCAAAAACAGCTAGTAGCCACGTTCGTGCACAGAATAATGCACGGGTTCCACTAGATTTTAAAAGCAAGGACAGAATAGAGGCATTGATTTTTTTTTAAATTTTAAGTACGTTTTAAGTTGGCCATAACCCTTTCAAGCCTTCCTTATATCAGCCCTTACGGTCTGTGACCCCAGGCTGCCCTTTGTGGGTTTTCCTAGCTGTTACAAATGAACTGTGAACTATGTTATCATCAGGGAACGATATAAGACTCAGAAGCTGTTCTTCCCTGAGCAACATTAATCTGGGAAGCAATTGGAATTTTTCCCAATATGCTACTTGGGATACCACCCCGTATCTTAAAAAAAAACCCGTACTTAACGTTATCAGAATGTTACTCAGGTAAAACAGGCTTCTGAGGTGATTTAAATGAACCTGTTACATGCAAGCAAATTTGATGCCACAGGGAAATGGGCTCAAGCTCTCTCATGCAACGGTGAAGCCTGAATTTGAATTCTGCATTGCTTTACGGTAGTTCAGAGCCCTAGGAAATCCCCCCCATCCGTATCAAAACACCAGTGGGTCTGGGGTAACCCCTGCAGGTCTGATGTAAGCACCTGGGATTTTCCCTGATGTGGGCAGTAGGCTGGAGAAGAGCCCTGCGCGTTCCAGCACTTCCGTAGCCTTTTGTGGAAGCCGGAGGAGCTTCTCACCTGCCAAGTTCTGTTCGTCTTTCTTTGAAAGCGCTTTATCTTTTAGATCAAGGAACACGATTCCTGGAGGGCCTTTGATGTGGGCTGGGTTCCTTCCTCATCCCGGGCAGGTGCAATTCGAACAAATACGGATCTCACCGCTGGAATTACAGGAAAACGGCGCCGCCGCTCACACAATGCTTTGCAAGTAACTGTGCCTTGAATTGAGCGCCTCTTTTGAGCTCCTAACTAAAACACAAAAACCTTTAAACACCACATTACCACACTAAAATCAGTCCGTTCCTTCTTTGAAGGCCATTCTTGAAGTTTACGCTCCATATCGCCGCAACTCTCTTCCTTCGTGTCAAGGAAACACTGATGCAGCAATGAGATTCTCCTCATTTATTTTCAGAGAAAAATAATATACATGCGATGAAAAGCAAGACACTGGGCTCTCTTCCTAAGACATTCATATAAAACTTTTCTCCCACCTTTCCATGTCCTGACCCCCCCCCGCCCCCGTCTCCTCCATGCCTTTGGGACACAAACCAAGACAAGTGTTTGGAATCTGCCATGTAGTGATAATTACTAAAAAAATCCTAAAAGCACAATAATAATAAAGCATCCAAAGAGTGCAGGTTAATATTAAAATACGGTTTGCCACGTTCAAAATCACTGGCATTTTTCTCCTCTTAGGAAATAAAAGGCCTCATTTTCCAAGAACGAGTCAACCCTCAACGGTTTACTCCTGTTGATTCGGTCATTGCCTTCTTTTCTGACTGTTTTAGTGCGAACAAGTTTCTTGATTAATCTATAGTCAGTTTGACCATAACCTGGCACTTGAGAAGCCAAGTTCTTGTATCTTTTCTCCACCACAGGTGCATTCAGGCACCACTCCGCTGCATCGACAGGTTCAGACCATTCAGATCGGCAGCCTCCTAGACCCAGGCTCTCTCAAGATGATTCTGAACTGCTGTTCAGAAACTTACTGACAAGATATAACCTGGACCCATCTGTCCATATGCATTCGCTTCCCATGTTTTTTTTTCTAATTTAGAGTAGCCAATTACTGAGCGGGGGGGGGGGGTCCTGTCATAGCAGCCTCTAGCACAGGGGAGACCCAAGACATCACAGATTGGCCAACTATCGTCAACTGGCAGGGCTCCCCCACCTCTTTCTCACTCAGTTGAAACTGTGAGTCCCAGGGCTCTAACAGAACAGAAAAGGCATCAGATGCAGCTGAGTGGGCACATGGTCAATGCTATGGCTGTCGACTAGTGACTTTGTCCAGCGGAGTGAGCGCCTGGTCACTCCAGTGACTGCCCGTTAGTGACAACACAGCCAGGTGGGCACCTGGTCACCCCTATGGCCATCCACTAGTGGCACAGTCCAGCAAAATGGGCATCTTGTCACTCCAATGGCCGCACACTGAAGACAGTCCAGCAGAGTGGGCATCTGGACACTCCAGTCCAGCAGCTAAGGCCTTATTAAGCTGAAAACAAGGCCTGATGGAAACTATTCTTTAAGGCTGGACTAGTCACATTATACTACAATTTTATATGTATGCAGTGAGACATATGGCATTTGAAATGATATTTTAACAGTTTTACAAAGCAAATACTGATAATGAAATGTGCTGAGCACTATAAATAGCGACTGATCCACAATATAAACTGAAATAAAAGCAAATTGCAGCCATTCCTCGGGGTGTTAAAACGACTGTTGACGCAAGGATCCAGAAGCAAGCACTTGGCGCGACTGGATTAAGGAGAATTGTGATTGTACTTCTCATGTGGAATATTTCCATTACATTCTTGATCCCAGCACTGGCCAGTACTGTTTTGGACTGGAGTAATAAATAAAATAAAAGCAACATTCTCAATTTATGCACATTTATCTAAGGACATGGTAATAGGAAAGAAACATGCAGAATAAATACAAGAATGAATAAATAAATAGCAGGCAACTGCACGGGTTATGCTACCTGGCAAGAAACTGGGGGTTTGTGGGGAGCGGAGCGAAAGAAGAAATGTATCTGACACTCCCACTCATCGTTGTGAAAGGGAGCACCTGTGTTCTCAAGGTATTTAAGGATGGGGAGAAAACAGAACAAGCAAGACAGATCTACAAATGAAAAGTGAAGCTCAGAATGCGAAGATGAGAGCCCCGGTCTGAAAGGCACATTACTGAAGAGCTGTCAGGTTTTGAAGGAGAAAGGCTTCCCTTCTGCAGAAGTGCAATACACAGATCTTTACTAGATGTCACAGAACAAACTCTGAAGCCTTTCTGATCCACAAAATCCCACGTTCCCACTAAAAAGTGGAATTATACCATTTTGTTTTTCAGATGCCTGTAGCACAATTTCATAGATTTGACTTTTGGGGGAAGCAGCTAATAAACGTAGTGCGGGCTGCCGCTGCGAAAGACGCCCTTCTCGTGTTGTGCACCAACGTGCTGGGGAAAGACGGGACAAGCGCCGTGCCCTCCCGTCGCACAGACGGGGTGTGTTCACACCAGTGCAACACCCTTGGACACAGCGCGATCGGGCTAGAGGATCCAAATCAGATCCACTTTTAACTGCTCCAGACTTGGCTGCTGAGAATGAAGAGCATACACTGGGAACAGGAAAGATCAGTGGGACGAGGCCAGACGCAAAGACGTAGTAATCTGTGAAGTACGGACATGGGGACCGGGGACTTGAACCCGAGTGCGGCCCTCGCAAAACAGAGCTGTCCAGTGCTGTGTGGTGCCTTTTCAGATCATAGTGATCCTGGAAAATTCTCGAATTCCCGCCGGGGCAGAGATCCCAGATTCCCTGGTCTCCCTCCCACTGCCTCGTCAGCCACAGAGGAAAATGAGTCTGTACTGCAGAGACGGTCCGAGCTCTGGTCCAGTCACGTCAGTACTTGTTTATCCCAAAAATCCTGACTCCATGAAACTGCGGGAGCTTAGGCAGCAGCACGCTGAGCAGCGAACAGGTGTTGACCAAGAAATGTGTGGCGTCGTACTTTGTGTAAAAGCTGGCCAGGATGTATCTGAAAAGGGTGAAGGAGAGATATCATGTTAAGTCACTTTTATCATGTCCTTTATCACATTTCCTGAACTGCTTGATCCAGATTGGTCTGTATTAATTTTCATAGTGCTACAGTCTTCAATACACTGAATGTCGCTTAATTACTGGGCACACTCTGGCTGTATGATTCATTATGCAAATTAATGAAGAAATCTCAAGAGCTGTTCTCTCGCTCTGGTGCAGAAATAGCCATTCTGGTGCAGAGTACACCTGATCCATGATTTTGTCTTAGCAGCGACAGGCTGACTTAGGCACTGCGTAATGCTTAATAGAAAAAAATATTTCCTTCCAGAGAAGTCAACTTTGAAGTGTGTTCAAGGTATCCCAAAGCGTCCGAGATGAAATTAAGGCAGGTGTACTAGTCGCCACCAAACGCAAAGCCCTAGGTATTGCTAGACTGCTGGACTAGCACTTCTGTCCAAACTGATTAATACAGGAAAGAGGAAGTTTCTATCTAGAAATGCAAATGCTCATCCTTTTAGGTTCACAGCCCCTCTCCTTTCCTTCAAATGGCACAGACTGACAAAAACCACAGGGCTTGACCTTTAAAAGAATCGTCCCCTTTTCCGCGCTGTCGTCTTGCATAATCTGCACCCCGCCACCTAACAGCGGAGCTCTTCCTCCTGCTCGTTTCCTTGAGCTGGTGACACCACACGGCCACGCAGCCGGATCAGGGAAGCCCTTCACCTCAGCGCTCGGGAATGCTATATGGAAATGTTTCCCTACAACGATAACCAATGTGCAAAGTCACCCTGCTAAGAGGAATGACAGGACAATGTCTAGACTCTAGAGCCTCGTGTCCCTAGTGCGCATTTTCCTCCACCTGTTCTCTTTCCAGATAAAGCTTGGCTAGAATCCCAAAGCCATATTTATGCGGAAAATTAATTATATTTTCCATTTCACACCCCTATATCATCTCCAGCCAGTCTTACGTCTTCACATTTCTATCATAACTTGCAGCAGACTGAGAGTAGATGAGCTGCTCCCTTGAAGGTAACTTTGACCACTGTCTTTCAGAGCCATTTTCCCCAAAACGAGCATTTAGGAGTCGAATCTTTGACTGCAGTCCTTACTCTCATGGACAAGCACTAAAACATGGCTTTTAAAGATATGCAGAAGGTCAGCAGTTCTTTCTTTACACATTGTGCCCCTAAAAAAGTCATATTAAAAGCAAAGGAAAATGAATCTGGAGAACAACTCTTGAAGAGCTTTGGGCAAAGTAGATCATATTAATACTGTCCTGAGTATTTCTCTCTTGAGGCATTAAAGGACATGATGTAAACTATACAATCATGAAAAATGTATTTTTTCTATTCCCTAAAGTAAATGCGGAGCACAAGTCCCCCTCGATTAACAAACCATTCTTGTTAGCGGACAAATGCAGCTGTTGATGGAGGTGAGGAAACTCTCCCTCCCCTCCTCTCGGTCTCCCCTCAACCATACTTCGAGGGAGGAGGCGATGTGCAGAGAACCAAGCCACCAGTCAGGCAGGATCCCCGCTGGGGCCGACACAGAGGACGCAGCAGGCAGGAGGCGAGGCGGCGGGCGGCTCTTACAGCACGATGGGCGAGATGGTGAGGAATTTGCGGGAGGAGGTGAACTGGATGCCGTAGTCCATCTGCTCCCAGTGGGTGAGGAGGCGAGCCTTGCCCTGGTCCGGCGTCTCGAAGGGCGTTCCCTTCACCGTGTGGAGGAACACGTACATCACCTGCGGGACAAGCCGGGCGTCAGACACAGCGGCTGCAGCGCGAGATTGGAGGGGCATCATGCGGGCAGACAGGAAGGGGCAGGCTGGCAGCAGGGGCACAGATCCGGTCGCCTGTGGAGAGTGAAATCTGGCTCCGGCCTGGGGTCATTGCTCCGGGGCAGGCCTGGGAGAATTCTGAGCCGACACCCGCCGTTGTACGTGATACCGCAGAAATAGCTGAAAGGTGGGTTGACTTCATCGGGTATAGGGACTGGATCAAGCAGAATGCAGACTCTTCAACCCCCCCATTCATGGTAATAAACCCACTGCTGCTAAGCAGGTGTGAGCCTGGTCAGTACCTGGATGGGAGACCTCCTGGGAAAAACTAAGGTTGCTGCTGGAAGAGGTGTTAGTGGGGCCAGCAGGGGGCGCTCACCCTGTGGTCTGTGTGGGTCCTAATGCCCCAGTATAGTGACGGGGACACTATACTGTAAAACAGGTACCGTCCTTCGGATGAGACGTAAAACCGAGGTCCTGACTCTCTGTGGTCGTTAAAAATCCCAGGGTGTTTCTCGAAAAGAGTAGGGGTGTAACCCCGGCGTCCTGGCCGAATTTCCCATTGGCCCTTACCACCCATGGCCTCCTAATAATCCCCATCTCTGAACTGGCTTCATTACTCTGCTCTCCTCCCCACTGATAGCTGGTGTGTGGTGAGCGTTCTGGTGCACTATGGCTGCCGTCACATCATCCAGGTGGGGCTGCACACTGGTGGTGGTGGAGGAGAGTCCCCATTACCTGTAAAGCGCTTTGAGTGGAGTGTCCAGAAAAGAACTATATAAGTGTAAGCAATTATTATTACTATTATTAATAGCATGGATAAACACAGACTATAAAACCCTCTGGAACACTGTTACAATTTGGGCCACTGTGGCAAATACACCCTGTGTGTGTCTCATTCAGTGTTCTCCGGAAGTGGCCATCTCAAACCTTCACTGGACTGTGCTGCGACTCCTGGCATCCCCACACCCCGACACTCGTCCGTGGGCTTTTACCAGCCCGTGGGCAAGAGGCAACACCCGACACCCGAGCACCGGGCGGGGAGGGGCAGGGGAAGGGGCGTCACGTCGGGGCTCACCAGGTTGTGGATGACGTTGGTGAGCGTCCACACCAGCGGCACGCTGAAGAACGGGATGCTGAGCAGGACCACGTGAAGAACGGCCACCAGGAGCAGGTAGGCCAGCCAGATGCCCCGGCTGTTCATCACCCGCGTGTTGGGGTTCACCTCGCTGTGCGCCACCCCTACGTTCATCCTGCAAACAGCACATAGGCCGGGAAAGCAGGGTGTCAGCTGTCCCATTACTCTGCCAGTACAGTACCCGACCCGGACTCAGCCCCACTGAATCGCACAGTAGCAGAGTGTCCGCCAACGCTTCACAGCCGCTGGCTCGCTATTAATCCCCACGCAGGGAGCTGGGGTTCCCAATACTGGGTGAAAGATCGTTCCCTTTCCATCTTTTCAGTGCCTGTGCACGCAGAGCCTGGAAGAGGCAAACACCATTGTAGGGACAGGTTCTTAATGGGTGGAAATTGTGATTTATTGGTTGAACAGAGAAATATTATTTATTGTAAAACACTGGCTACTTTTTTCTACTGATCCACTGCTTTCCAAAGACATTGATGAATTGTCTCTGTTGAAGGGTGAGAAATGAGTACAGAGCTGAGGCATCTGCGAATTACTGAGAGAAATCATGATCGAGCTATAGGCCGAAATATATCGTTGTTGTTTCTTTTCTGAAGCAAAACTAAGTTGTCACACGTACACCTTACTGGATAGAACAGTTAGCCTCATGCATATGGAAATCTTACAAAAACTGAAATAAAAATGTTTGTGTGGGGTGTGAATTTAGTACAGTGGACATTTTTGTGAACAGAAACCAGTGTGTCTGTGATAAGAGCTTTCTGTTCTTGCAAGGAAGTGACTGAACCCCAGCAGCTCTGTCACACATCCAGTACAGGGGTTCCCAGCCCTGGTCCTGGGGCGCCTCTGGATATTCTGTGTTTTACTCCAGCTGTGTTCTTAATCACAGGCTAACAGACTTCTTTATATTTATATTCGGGATACATTAATACATTTCCTTTTAACTCCTAAAACACTGAATGGGACCCAGAAGTGGTACCAGCTCAGGTACCTCCACTGAGGAACAGAACTGTCCTCATCCAGGTGGGCTGGAACTGTAACCAGATGGGCTCTGCAGAGTCTGCAGGAGGGGACGGTGGGATACAGGCCTCCCTGATCACCTGCTACAAGCTGTTTAGCCAGATTGAAGGGTAAACAAACTGGAAACAATAGGCTTAAAGAGGTGTAATTTGAAACTCAGGACTAAGCACAGAAAACACGTGATCCGAAAGCAAATCAGCAAGCAGATCCATCGAGGTCATCACCTAGCAATGGCGAATTTTTACTTCGTGCCCCGTAAAGTGTTACGATTCGGAATGACTGACTACGTGATCCAAGGCTCCCAAAAGCTCTGTACCTGTCCTGGTGAACAAATTACGACAAACAGACGCCGTTCAGCCAGTTAACAGTTGTTAAACGTGCAGGGCGACGTGTGGGGACGAGGGGACTGTGCACGTATGTAAATTCCCGGAGCGGTACGGCCTCGTCCACAAACTCAAACATGGGACCAAGAGCCGAGTCCTTTCACTTTCCGCACAAGAGCGCCCAGCTACGGTAACGCCACGTTCTGTTTCGCCGGGGGAGAAGGAACAGCGTTTTCTAAATCAAGGTAAAATCAGAAAAGACGCTCCCTGTGGCCACCTACTCGGTTGCCCATTCACAAACCAGCGCCTTTCCGCGCAGTGAATGAACGGGCGTCTCGTTTGAAACAGACAGACCAGGAAATCGCCGAGACACGTCCCTCACAGCAAACTCCCGGGAGCTAAATCCAGCTACTTTACAGTTTGGAAACGTAATAAACACACCTGCCCACAAAAAGCCTAGGGTTTCAGATTGGCCGTTCAATTCTGTAACTAAAAAACACCCCACAAACAAAGCCCCACAAATCAAATCATTCCGGTCCTCTTACCTTATGATGGAAACTGTAACCAGGAAATCTTGTACTGTAATAGAACCCGCCCTCGTCAGCCCTGGATTGGGCCAATGGTGGAATAAGGACATTTCGGCTGGTCTTCAGAAACATCAATCATAAGACTCTCTTTGCGATGATTGGCTCTTACATTCCATTGGTACACAGTGTTAGTCAGTCCCTTCTGCTTTTAACCAGCCTGGCCCCATATCATTGGAAATATAAAGTAACATATAATACTGCACATACTTTAGATATTCTTCTTTAAAATATTCTCTGCTAATGTTTCCCATTAGAAATAATATATCAAAATCTAGACCACGGAAATTAATCCAGTATGAACTAAATTTACATATAACTTTGTTTTAATAACAGCCCAATTTTAATTTCAAGGACATTTTTTATATCATATACATATATGTTTATATATTGAACGTTTCACTCAACTTTTCAAATATTTT